AATTTACAACCAAAAGCTCTGATTACCAGTTGTTGGGAAATAAACCGAGAACGAGTAATTTCCCTATAACCAGATTAGTGAGAATGCGAAATGAAAGCGGAAAATAATACCCGAAAAATTGATAACGGAGTTCAACCAATTGTGCCTACGTCTCCGGACTGCTGCAGATCTTTTACTAAGAAAAAAAATTTATAAATATTTACAAAACACTCACTACTCACAATAAAACTCTCTAGTATTGGGAGAAAGAAATGATTTGGGATGATTTTGAAACTAAATGAGTTAGGATATTTATAGTTAAAGCTTAGGGACTAATCTTATAAATACCTTAAAATTAGAATGACTAAAGTTGCAATATTCTCATTTTCATTTTAACAATAACTGCATCACTTTCGGTGCAGCACACCCTTTTTGAATTTGTTTGTGCATTAGGCGGTGCCCCTTGACTTTACAGCATCGCCATGTAAAGGCTCTGAACTTGATAGTTCTGTCAATTATGCATATTCCCTATATGCCAATAACAGCAGCAATTGCTTGACTACGGAAATAAGCTTTCCTTTCCCTGGAAAACAGGTGCCACCAGTGCAGTTCCGAATGGAAAAGCAGAAATGCTGGCAGGATTACAATAATCTTGAGCATAAAAAAATCCAACATAAACAGAAACTGCAGCAACGTCAATTCGTGAATGGAAATCAGCAGTTTACCAAACTGCCTGTGCAGCTTCAAGAACAATCAGTCCGGACTGGTCATTACTTTGTGTAGATCGATATGTTCAAGTATACATGGTAGCTTTGTTTTATTGCTCCTTTCCTGCTTCTTGATTTCGAGTTGATCATTATTGTTGTTTAAGTTATTTTCAAATAGCTCCTTCATCAACTTTTGTTTCTGTTCTTTAAGCTTTGGGGAATGATTCTTATTTCTTACACTTTTGTTTGATTTTTGTAAGCGCATAGTGATTCTATTTGTCAGATCAATTTCAATTACTTCCACCATCTCTTTTCGTGTTCGTGCATAAGCACTTAGTGATTTTGTCCTACATCATTTCGTGTTTGTGCATAAGCATTTTGTACTCCATACCAGACAAAATGCTTTCACAGGTCTGGTTCTGTTAGTTCGAACCTGGTGGGCATGTTAATGCCTGTTCCATCATGCAAAGCATATTTCTCTGTTGACTTCAATACAATCGGCTCTTACAGTTATTTGTGCAGATTTCATATGAATATGCTCCAATACAATCGGATAAACTTGGTTTACTATCCTATTTTCTAATGGTTCGAAGTCAGCGATCTCATATGAATATGCTCCAATGCTCGGCCAGTTCTATGCGGATAAGGCTTCAGAACTCGATGAAATGTCTACTGGGTATGTATTGTCTGCATATGAATCATTTGGATGATGGGATCGGGATTATGGTGGTGTGGGTGAGTACTGAGTGATGTGTACTTAACACTTTTCCAACTAAGGCACCGAATTGAATTAGGCAAAAAATGATTTGAATCACTAACTGATTTGTATCTTGAACATGTGATTTACAGTCACGAAACTTAACGAGAAAAATTCAATAAATAGATACCATACTTATATATAACACAAAAGAAAGGAAATCAGTGCATTTCATGTTTAATAAAAGTGACAAAAATGATGCATCCCTTGTTAACTTGAAAACATACCCTTTTCTCTATGTATACTGGTGTCTCAGCTACCTCTATTTCGCTGATAACTCTCGGTGGAAGGAAATCGATATCAGCATCGGAATGGATGCACGAACTAATAAGATTGGGTCTCAGCCACGACTTAAAGTGTGTCCCAATCAGGAATATTTGCTGTAGCCTCGTTCACCATCTGCACAAGTCTCACCTGTAGAAATTGAAAAGGAACTGTTTTCAACTCAAAAAGTTTATGTTGAGAATCTATCTAATATGCCGAGAAACTACAATGGCCGTTGATAAACCTGCAATGAGAGACAATGATTACAACTATTACCTAGATTCGCTCTAGGGTGTGGCTTGAGTTCTTTTTACTCAATGAATCAATCTACCAACTCCTATATTTTCCCAAATGGATGAACTTACCACACTTTCAGGAACACCCGGAGGAGGCAAAGAGAGATTCCGTGGAGGAGGCCCACTAAGATATGATCTCTTGTCGAAACGCCATTCTCCAATCTTTCCATATGTTAATTCTCCCTGTAATGCCATCTCAGAGTGAAGAAATTACATATAAACTCGAAAGACTAAATTACAGAGAGAGCTATTCTTTTATGGTTGTACCTTTAAATTGTAGTCACATCCGTATGTATAATGGAGTATAAACTTATTCCCTATTTCGACATCCCACGGTGGCTGGTAACAAACAATGACGAGAGTTGAATATCAAATTGTAACTAAAGGTCATCGAGAGAAAAGAAAAAAAGGTTCATCATGTTTTTATTAAAACCTGGAGCATGAAGTCTTCACGAAGTATATGATGCACGTCATGCAGTGCTGATGCCACAGCATATGCATACCTAAGTTTCGATCGAATGGTTGCACATGTCAAAAGGCCATATCAGCAAAAAAGAATACAATTAAAAGTGAGAAGTGTCACTTACATTTCTAGAACCCATCCAAATGCCTGATCGGTTGCTGGATCATCTTTCATCATTAATGAAATATTCATCCATGTTGGTGCAATTTTCTCCAGCACAGACTGTTATAAAACAAGAAATCATGCTTTAGATTTCCATTAAAAATTACTGTGAAAGAAATTGGAAGGTGATTTATGCTCAGAACAAACTTGTCACACAAGCTACGACGATCTTAAAGGGCTACCTTTCTAATAATCACCGGAGAATTGCCAATCGGATCAATGTCCATCGGAGAACCCTTCTCCTCGGGATAATACTTCCTAATAATGGTCTCGTGATCAGATGGCTTAATGTAGAAGAAAGGGAACCCTGCTGGATATTGTCCACGAGCCAAGTTAGGCAAAGGATTTATGAATATATGGTCAGGTTCTGCCATTAGAATGTATCTGCATCAGTTATAAAATGCAGTAACTTTTCAGATAAAATAAAGGAAGCATACACCCTGGATGGTCTTATCGATTAAAAGAACTCACTCTTCGTCAATTGTTGCTTTTTCCAACCATTGCACAAAAGCCCACGGTCTATGCAAGACAACATAACCCTGAAAACGGCATTGAGACAAAAGAAGAAAATCTTAGTTAAAACAAGATGTTTTTTAGTCCAGTTTATGTCTTGTGAGTAATGATGCAGATAATTCACCGTAAAAGTATGATTCAAATGCAAAACGATATGAACATCATCAACTTGCAACAACATGTATTGGAATAAGCATGATCGATATCTATATATCCATTGGTTTGGTTGCTTGTTTACTGAGTTACATGTTCAAAAATACAAGGGGAAATGAAGAACCGAAATACCAAACAGAAAAATGCTCACCCGATCTAAACCCTCTGGAAGAGGATCAACAACAAAACTTGGAATCTCCTCCATCAAACTGTCAGATTTACCCGAATGCAAAATTCGAGTGAACTTTCCCATCTCTGATCCGGGCATATTTTTTGCCTTCTTATACCAATAATACATAATCCGACACTGCCATTGGCTATACGGAGCATCATTTGCCGTAAGAGCAACATGGTACTTTGACTTCGAACCCCCAAATTCATTCAAATTTTCCGGCTTTAGAAAAGGATCATCCCACTCTTCTGAATATGTCTTATAGTGTATCATCATAGTCAACAAATTATATGTTGCAAAGAAAAATCCCAGGACTAAAAGTACCAAAAATAGCGGCGAAACACGCTTCATCTTTCGCTACACAATACAAAATCCCACCTTTCTCACACCCACAAGGCTTAGTTCAAATGCTATCTATAGCAACATTCGAAAGAGCAAAAATTCACAATAATTCCATTGAACCGTGCAAATTCTATGCAATGAAGTGTAGAATTGCAGCAAGTAAGAAAACCCTTTGTTGCAATATCTTAGACGATTGATCATAAAACCATAGAACTGAATCTGCATCAATGCATTGCAAGCAACATGACAATAAGACACGATCCAATGCTGCAATGTTCAAAGCAAAAGAATACAAAATAATGACGGTTCAATCTAAAAACAACAAAACAAAAATCTATGTATTGATCAGAATTCACAATTGGCAAAAATCGGATCTGATATTCTACTTTTTCAAATTAAAAAGAAGCAAATGAAACAAAACCCAGAAATAAAAAAATTACAGAAGCAACAACAAACCAATAATTTAAAAAAAATGAAATGCGGAAACCAGAGATGAATGTAGTTGAAGTACCTGAACTTTACTCAGCAGAAAAAGAGTACCTCGACTTTCTCCTGTTCAACTCCAATGGAGGAAAAGGCGGAAGTTTTGGCAAGGGTTGAATGCTTCTAAGTTGTAAAATAAAAACCATAATTACAAATGGGGTCTACTTGGTGGACAACTGATGTGGTTTATGCCGGAGACAATGAGATCTTTGCATTTGGCTTGTCACTTGTCAATATTTTTTAATTGCTCACTTATTATCATTAAGGGAAATTATCATATTGATCCTCAAATTATTACTCCTTTTTACTTTGGTCATTGAAACTTTTTTAAAAAAATCACCACTAATATTATATTTTCTTTATTTCGATCATTGGTCGTTAACGACGACGATGTGACTTGATACCATACCAGTTTCAGTCTCCAAAGTTTATATATTTTATTAATTTGATTCTATTACAAATAATTCAATAAATCATTAATAATTAAAAATTCTATCAATTTAATTTTTATTTTAGTTTAAAATAAATTAATAAATCTAATTTCAGGTTGAAATCCCCAACTTCACCCCTACAAATACAAATATATATAATTGCGTACCATTCTATAATGTTGATTTTCTTTTTCTTTTTGAGCTGGAAATATTTTTTATTTTGTCGACTTTAAATACTTAATTATATAATATTTTTATTTGGTATAAAAGTATAAAGTTGCCTCCATGCAGGATTGAACTACAGACCTTAGTTTACAAGACTGACGCTCTACCACTGAGCTATGAAGGCAACGTTATACATAGTTCTTTTTTTGTTGTTGAAGTTTTCAGTAATATTAAATATTTAATTTTTGAAGACATGTCTAAAATGATAGCAAATTAATATAAAACTAAAAAAAATTATACTATATAAACAGATATTATCTCTCTTTTATATATATATATAATGAAAAAATAGTTATTAAAAATGACTCTATTTAACTTTTATTATTAGGAACATTTTCATGCATTCATAATTTGATGACATTTAAAAATGATGATGACATAAATTATATATTTAAGTATAAAATATTAAATTTAAATTTTTAAACTTAAAATATAATGCATATTAACTAATAAAAATTAGTACGAAATAAGTGATTTTAGTAGCTAAGGGGTTTAATGTTATCCGTTAGGTTTCAAATTCAAACACCGCATATACAGAGGTTAAAACTATATGTTTCAGTTTCAAATCTTTACTCTTTTCATTGTATTTTACCCATAATTAGATTATCAGATGTTGATTGATAATATATAAATATTTTTATATTTGAATCATATTTTTACTAAAAATAACCAGACCAATGTTAATTTTTATTTTAATAATCTAAAACTAAAATAATATGATGAAATGCAATGACAGAAAAATAAGTACTAATATAATCGAGCTTTAGTGTTTATATATGATAGTAGTAACTTACTTCCTTAATATTTTATTATATAAAAATTTATTTATTTACTAAAATAATATTATAATTGAATTAATAATTAAACTTTATTAAAATACGATGAGAATATTTAAGAATATTAAAAAAAATATGATTAAAAAAGATTTGAGTGACTAAAATGAAAAAATGAAAATAGATGAATGACCAAATAGTTAGTTTACCACTGTTATTCAGGCGGTTAAAGAAACTTTAGTAGAATTAGTTTTTCTAAATCCAACAAATCACGCCCTAAATTTAAGTAGACCAACAGTACATCTTCAAAGCCTATAAAAACTAAAAAAGCGCTTCTCTCTGTTTCTTGCTCTATTCTCTTCTTTATCTCAGCCTCCGATATCCAACGATGGCGGATTATAGCGCAACCGTCTCTGATTTTCAAGCTCACGCCACCGGAGACGAAGGAGAGAGAAACCCTCCAAGTGTCTCCGACTCCGGCGGCGGCTCTGCCATCGCGAAGACTAGTACCCTTGATAATATCGACAAACTGATGAGAACACTGCGAAGAGGAGTAGAGGTAGGCCTCAAGGATCCAAGAACAAACCCAAACCTCCGGTTATTGTAACGAGCGAAAGTGATACTTCACCTGTGAAGACAGTGGCTTTTGAAGTCTCTCCCGGTTCTGATGTTATCGAGAGAATTATCAGCTTTGCCTGTAGAAACCATGTCGGTGTTGATATAATCAGCGCTACTGGCTCCGTTTCAAACGTCACGCTCTGGAATGCTTCTCCACTACAACAACCAGTCTTTCTTAAGGGAACATTTGTGTTACACACCTTGATCGGCTCATTCTTCCCGGAATATTGTACTCCGGCCTCTTCAAACAGAACACCCCAATCATCATCGCCGTGTCCTAATTTTCGCATAACTTTTGAAGGGGCACAATTTCAACTCTTTGGAGGGAGAGTATTCGGGAAACTGGAGGCAGCAACACAAGTGGAGGTGGTGGCGGCTGTTTTGGAAAACCCTTGGTTCGATGATTTTCCATGCAAAGATGATAATGAGGATCCCCGTCAGCGGAAAAAAGCTCGTAACGCTAATGGCGAAACCGGGAGTTTCGCTTCTACTTGCATGTACATGGATGTTTACAGAGGAGCGAATCCTGCTCCACCAAACTTCCAGTTTCCTCCTTGTCTTATGCCTTGGAGTAGGGTCCTTCCCGGAAGATGAATTAGCGTAGGGATTTTAGGGTTTACACATCATCGATATCATCTCAAGTTCATTGAAACTGATTAAACTTTTAGAACACCTATATTTTTCTTTTTCGTACATGTAATCATTACTTGAAATTCCATATTTATTCTAATATTATATTTGTTTTGTGGAAAATTTTCACATATCGAATTCCTCATGCATTCATTCTTTAGTTTACGTAGGTTATGTTGAAACTCAAATTGGGTCAAATTTAAATGGAGAAATTTCTTGAAACTTATATTTGTCATCAATGGATCTTCGTTTTGATTGGAAGAAAAGGTATATAGCAGGCTATGGCTAATTGGGGCTATGTCTCTGACATTATAAAACCTTCACAAATATTTCATGTAATCCGTTTCAGAGTTTTTTTTTCCTATTACATAATATTTTTGTTATGTCTTGATTAGTTTAAAATGATAATAGATTATATTATTTTACTTGTTTATAAATATTTAATTTAATTTTATAAATTTAAATTATTTTATGATACTTATCATCATTGATGATGATGACAAATTAAAAGAAATGAGATAAAATTAAATACAATAAAAAGGATGTAAAACATCAAATCAAGATCCAAAGTGAAACAACAAAAATATATGGTCATGGGCCGTGATATTTGGGTTCGAGATATTGGCGCAAATGTCTGCTAAAGAGATTCTATGCAGAGTGTGGGCTTGTCAAGACGACCAGACTTGGCCCATCACTTGGAGAATATTGTAGAGCCCGTTCACATTGGCCGTGCGAAAAAAGAAAGTGGCATCATATTCGAAGATGATCACATGAGCTCGGTAAATATGGAAAGATACAACAAATCAGGAAGATATTGTGGTGGAATTTTACCATATCCAGTGTGAACACCTATCCAAAGAAATAATCTTACTAATGGATGTAATTAGATACTTGATTTAGGGGATCTTGTATTGATTGAGCAGATCTTAGCCGTTGATGTAAATCAATCTAGGTCGTTGATTGAGAGGGAGCTCAACTATAAATATAGAGCCTCTCATCCTCATTTGTATTCATTCTTCCATCCATTCTCTTGGGAGAGAGTAATAAAACTCTGAGGCATTTACTATAGTTCTTGTGTTCTTTTTTTTATTCTCTCTATGTTTGTTGCCTCTCTTGGTGGCTAGGAGTAACCCCACTTGTGTTTTCACTTCCACACCATAGTCCAACCGTGGTGGCTTGGAGTAGCCACGTTGGTGTTAAAGCTTATGTATCCTAGAAGCCTTGAGGGCTTAGTTCCAACCTTGGAGAGCTTGCATGCTCACTAGGCTTGGGTAAGGCTTACTTAGTCACATAGAATACCCAGAAGAGTTAAGAAGCGTCTAAGATCGCTCGTCCCGTCAGACCTTAACTATGATATTGCGAGAGTTTGGGCTTGAAGGTTCTAAGGGCGTGACAATATGCTCAAGGTAAAAATAAGTGTCCAAATTATATCCTAAGTTAATTTTAGACGTTTAAAAAAAATCGTTAAAAATAGGTGTGTAATGTTTTCTCCATTACACTTTTAGGTGTTTATGCATGAATTACCGTTTAAAAAAAAGTTAACTGACACGTGTCATGTTTATATTTTGGTTTAATACAAAACTAAGTGCCCAAACTATAACTAAGTTAACTTTAGGTGTCTAATGTTTTCTTCATTATACTTTTAGGTACCTACGCAATAACGATGGTTAAAAAACTCGTTAAGTGACATTCGTCATGCTTATATTTTTAAAAATTTTATTTTTTAAAAAACTTAAATTATATTATTAATTTAAAAAAATCATTTTTTTAATTATAAAAAAACTATGTAACCCTAATATCTCTCATTTCAACCCTATTACCAGTTGTCGCCGACCATTACCAGTCATCTTTGCCATCATCGGACGATCACTCATCAGTCGTCGGACCTTCACTGCATACCATAGCTCTTATTGTCGTCCTAATCCCCCTAAATCCAAAAATTCAAACTTAAATCCCTAAACATAATACCATAATCTCTAACCCTAGTCTAAAATTTAGCATTCTCACCCTAAGTTAACTTTAGGGATTTATGGGAACTATGAAGGGAGTTTTGGAACGCAACTGGGGAGTGGAAAAGTTTTTGCACATGTGGGAGTGGGCTGGAAATTTTTCTTAAAAAATATTTTTTAAAATAACATTTTAACTTTATTTAAAAATAAATATTTTAAATATATATATATATATCAACACGATATGTTTCAGATAACGGTCAAATTTAACAAATGTTACTGCTTAGGCGCCTAAAAATGTAACATCTAAAATGTTAGGCACCTAAAGTTAACTTAAGGTATAATTTGAACACTTATTTTTACATTAAACCTAAAAAATATTCTAATACCATATATTATTAATAGACATGAATGTCCAAATCAAATCACTCTATAAAAAGAACAAACCTGAAAAAATTAACACTAAAAAAACCATATAGATTTTAATATGTTAAAACATGTAATAAAATTTATTATCTAATTCTATTATATTTTACGAAAAATGCTTTAATTCATATTTCAAAATTTTATTTAACATACATAATTAAAATTTTTAATAGATTTAAATGTTCAACAAATAACCTAATTAATTTAAATAATTTCCCAAAGATTTTAAAGATACCTAATCCTCTGCGTAATTTGATGAGTTGATTGCCATTGATTGCCGATGGTTATACTTTGAGGGTGTGTTTGGTTCACGGAATGTAAGATTACCAGTGGGAATAAAAGATTACCAGGGAATATGATTACTGGGAATGTTGTATTTTGTGTTTGGTTGGTTTAGCAAGAATGTAAGATTACCTTGTTTGGTTAAATGAATAAAATATTATTGGAATGTATATTTGACAAAATTGTCCTTATTATATATTTGTATAATATTACAAATTGTAAAATATTTATATATTTTCTTTAAAAAAATAAATTCATAATATTTATATAATTTTTTTACAAAATTTAAAATATAAAAAAGGTTTAATGAAAGGGTAATTTTTTTAATCCCTGAACTTCATATAAAATTTTAATTATATATTTTTTTTGTAAATCTAAAATAATTTAAGGATAAATTTGTAATTTAACCTTCGTAGAATTTTTATTATTCAATTACAGAAGAAGGATATTTTTGAAAAAAAATAAAAATTTAAGGGCATTTTAGTCCAAAACGCCGGTAATGTTACAATACCTAAAGGAAGGGAGGTAATGACATTCCCGGTAATATATCCCAAAAAATCTACTATTAGTAATAAAACATTACCGGGAATGAGATTCACGGCTAACCAAACATGGGAATGTGGGATTCCCACAATCCTTGAACCAAACACCCCCTGAGACCCTTGTAGTTTTCCTTTATAGTCCACTTTTCAATGTTACTATATTACATTAACAAAACTTCATTTTTTGTCGAGTAAAAAATTAGTATCACTTGTTGTATGTTTATAGAAAGTAGGCTCGATGATTAATTTTACTTTTTTTATCTGTAGAGTAAATATTATCAATAATTAATAATAATTATGAACATATATTATATTATAATCATCCAGACTATTCAAAAAGATAATTTGGATATTGTGGTATAACTAAAGATTTCATTATATACAAAAAGTGTTGATATACAAAGTCAACATTGTTGTGCATAAGGCTATAAATGAACCGATTCGAGCTCGAGTTGTAATGAATTTGACTCGATAAAATTTGCCTAAGGCTAGCATTGTCACCTACCAAACAAATAATGAAGAAAATGAAAGTCGCGCTAATAAGAAAAAATATAGGCTAAAGAGAACAGCGTTATGATTTTTAATAAAATCAAAAATTTAAATCCTAACATTATGAATAAATTAAATTAAGTTAATTTTTTTGTTGAGAAAGGTAAAATAAACCGCCTACATTCCCGTTTTGTCCACAATCAGCAACTCCTCAGCTTCCTTAGAGTAATCTTCGAACAAATTGGTATCTTCATGGTGCTTCCACATCTGTTTGGCGATGAAATCAGCGACACGATTGGCCTCCCTAGGTATGTAATCCAGATCAACTATCCAATTTCTCTTCAATAATTTCTTGATATGTTGCAGAATCGTAAGCTTTATGTGATCGGTCGAGTTGTTCTTAATTAGGTTGATAGCTTCCCTATTATTTGACTCTAGTATCACGTTTCTTTCTCCCCTTAACCAAGAGATTCTTAAGCCTTCATGGATACCCCATAGTTATGCTTCCAAAATAGAACATATTCCTATTTTTCCCCGAAGCCCCAATGCCATTTACCATTACAATATCTTACAACAATCCCACACGTAACTTCCCAGTGCTTTTTCTTTTGGTTCCAACAGTGTTTATTTTGCAGTAGTTGCTTGCTGGTTTTTTCCATTTGAATCGGGAATTATCTCTGAAATTCTAGCTGACAGGATTAGTAGAACCCAAACTCTGTATTTCTTGGGTAAGTCTTGTTTCTTGTTGGATTACCGATTCCCTTTCAATCATCTCTGGGTCGAAAATTGTCTGGTTCATTCTCTTCCATATGTACCAGATTACTGAGCTGAAGAAAATTGGCGAGTTCTCAACACTCGTCGAAGGGGACTGCGTTGCTTTAAGGTTCTCAATAATCCAAATATTTAGATCGCAACTTAGGAACTTATCCATCTTCCGTGGAATAATCAAGTCTGACCATATTGATAGAGTCTTAGGGCAGTATCTCTGAATGTGATTGATATCCTTTGATTCATAATTACACATAGGACAACTTGCCTCCAAAGACATATGTCTTCTCGCCCTTTCTGAGTTGGTCAACAGTCTGTTTTTCCCAATTAGCCATAGGAAAATCTTGATGCTAGGAATATTGTTGTGTTTTGCAATAATGCCCCAAATCTTCTCTTTAATATTGTTATTTATGTTGGCTATCCACTTGTATGCAGATCTAACAGTGAAAATTCTTTTTTCTGATGGTATCTAGCCCGGTGAATCTTCAATGTCTTCTTCCACTGGAGG